ACCACGGCCCTGACCACAGTGACCGGCTCAGCAATGAAGAAGCATCCAGGCCGGATGAGTCCTCCTGCAGGGGCTTTTCTGCTTAAGGTGCCGACAAAGGTGGTTTCCCGGGAAGGTTTGTCTCTGTCCACTGGGGTCCCAACCTGGTGGGGAATCTAGGATTGGGAGCCTAGAGTCTGACCCCACGGAGACAGCCTGGAAGGCGATGGAGGCAGAGCCCAGAAGACACGAACTGAGCAACCTGAGCCCAGGCACATGCAGCTGGGCCTGGAGCTAACCACCCACCCCTCTGGTCTCCTGAGATAAACCGAGACATCCCTCTGTTGCAAGTTGGCAAATTTCCGTTCCTTGAAACTGCAAGAATGACAAGGACAAGAGGAAATAGAGACGAAGGACTTTTCTGAGTGTGGTGGATGCCTGGGCCTCTCTGCTCTTCTGTGGCCACATAGGGCCCAACCACACAGCCAGCAATGGGAACGGGCCCCTGGCTCTACTCCATGGGCCTAAGACAGCGGTCGGCAAACTGCGGCCCCTTGAGTGTGGCTCTTCCACAAAATACCACGTGGGGGCGCGCACGTACAGGGCGATTGAAACTTCGTGGCCACACTCAAGGGGCCAAAGAGCCGCATGTGGCTCGCGAGCCGCAGTTTGGCGACCACTGGTCTAAGATACGAACAGGCTCTCTCTCCTCCTTGAGACCTGCTTACAATAAACTAACCAGGAACCTCAGCCTGATACCAACCGGCAGGTTCTGCCCTGGTAACTTCTTGTTCTCCTCAGCTCTCCTACTCTCGAAATGAAGTCTGAACGCTCCGCATATTCACGGTAAAGCTTCTCCCTGTAAAACACAGTGAGGACCACCGTCACTCTCCATGTCGCTAAGATGCAAGTCAGCACCTTCTAACAAACCTCATGGGACACATTCACACCCTAGAGCAGTGGTTCTCCACCTTCTGGCCCTTTAACACAGTTCCTCATGTTGTGACCCAACCAGAAAATTATTTCCGTTGCTACTTCATCACTGTCATGTTGCTACTGTTATGAATCATCATGTAAATATCTGATATGCAGGATGGTCTTAGGCGACCCCTGTGAAAGGGTCGTTCGACCGCCAAAGGGGTCGCGACCCACAGGTTGAGAACCGCTGCCATAGAGGGAAGGGGAGGAGAAGGGAGTAAGAGGAACTGAAATCTTGGAATGGGAAACAGGAAAATGAAGTGCGTTCCTGTCTTTCAAGATTGTTTCTCCCTAACTGGCTGGGAGGGAGGCTATCTCACATGCCGTGGCTTTTGAAAACTAAGGAAGATATATTTGTAATATAAATTTTTCTGAAAACTGCATTGTATCTACCAAAGGTTTGGATCATTTTTTCTTACAAAATAACGTATAGTTTGAGCTATAGACAAATAGGGTCATTGGACATAGCATACCCATTTATCCTATAACATTTCCAAACGGGAACAGTTTACTTTTTACTCGCTTTGGCACAACAGATATTTTTTTTAAAATCTATTTTATTGATTTATTACAGAGAGGAAGGGAGAGGGATCGAGAGTTAGAAACATCGATGGGAGAAACATCGATCAGCTGCCTCCTGCACACCGCCTACTGGGGGTGTGCCCGCAGCCGTGATATAGAAATAATGGAGTTTTTTGCTTTGAAAAAAAATTGAGCCAAATACACTTTTCAATAGAGACTTCACCAAATAGAAAATGGCAGTGATGCTCTTAAGTGACTTGTCCCCACGAACACTAAGAAGTGACGCAAGGTCCTGCCCCTGACGGCCAGAATCGAACCTGGGACCCTTTAGTCCTCAGGCCGACGCTCTATCCACTGAGCCAAACTGGTTAGGGTGGCAAAACAAATACTTTGTGCACATGAAGAATAAACCCAGTTCAGGAAATTTAGAAGTTATTTACAATATAACATTAACTTTCTCTACATAAGTGAATATAGCTAAATAGTATGCTACATTGATCTTTTGTTCAGTTAGCAACCCCAGTGGATGAATTTCATGCACCAGGCCACTAGTATTATACATAATATATATCTGTATATAATGTCTTTAATAAGGTAAGCCCACTACACATTTTTATATTTATATATTAGTGATATAGTGCACAAAATTCATGCACATTAAAAGGGAATTTATTAGAGGAAATATTTTAATATTGTTGTTTGCCCTTTCTCTATAATAGAAGTGTCCAGCTGGCCCCACCCTCATTGGGCAACGCCAGGTCCCGGCCGGCCAAAACCCTGTCAAGCCCTGCCAAGCAGGGGATGCAGCCTCACGTCCCAGCACAGAGTTGGGGGCATGGCCTCAGGTCCCCCGCCAAGGCCTGGTCCCATGCAGCCTCAGGTCCCTGCTGATCAACGTTACGGCGTGATGACCATTTGCATATTAAGCTTTTATCCTATCTAATAAAAGAGAAACATGGTAATTAGCATACGACCGCTACCCTTCCCATTGGCTAACCAGGGCAATATGCAAATTAACTGCCAGCCAAGATGGCTCCAGGCAGCCAGGCAGCTGACACGAACAGGGAGCTTCCTTGCTTCAGTAACAGAGGAAGCCAAGCTTCCCCGCCTGCGTTGCCGGCCTCTCAGCTGCACTCTAAGCAACATTGTAACAAATATAGAAGCTAAACAAAACCCCGGGCTTCAGCCAGCAGGACCACAACATTGTTTCAAATACAGAAGGTAAACAAAGGCCCTAAACCTGCTTTCAGCAGTGGAGGTCTCATAGCTGGAGCCGAGCCTGAGAGGTAAAGCTGGCCCAGAATAAAAAACAAAAAGGAAAAAAGGAGCGGTTGGGAGCTTCAGTCACCCGTCAGCCTGAAAACGGCCCTCAGCCCCTCACCCAGACTGGCCAGGCATCCCAGTGGGGACCCCCACCCTGAAGGGGGTGTGACCAGCTGCAAACAGCCATCATCCCCTCATCCAGGCT